GTCGCGGCAACACCGCCTCTCATCCTCTTTCTCTTATGAGCGTTTGTAGCTTAGTTTCAGTTATGTTTTAAAGTCAAAGACAACTTACCTTTTATTAAGCCTTGCTCCAAGTAAATTAGAGCCATTTTGTTGGGATATTGAAGGGACACTCACCATTTTTAGTATGATTTTGGAAATCTCAAAAACATATCCAGTCAATCGTTGGAAGCTGAACAATAATGGTTTTATTTTGTAGAGCAGCACTCGACAAATAATTAAAACCCATTAGGAAGTCAGGATGGCTAACGATGGCGAGGATGGAAACGGATTGCGATATGGAGTTTTGAAAAAGCGTCAGGATGTCAGTTTTTAAAAGGTTCAAGTTTGGCTCGAAAATCGTTGAAATTTTGCAAAAATGTTGCTGCAGTGTGGACTCTCTTCAAGAAATTGCTTTTAATCATTTACTTAGAGCTAATTAAATTCTTATTACTTAAATTTAGGGATTATTTCGTATATTTATAGCAGTTGTAAGCAAATGTATCTCGACCTTGTCCCTTTAAATACAATATTTAATAGGTTGTTTTGACTTTTTTAATGTAGAACTTTTTCACCAAGCAGAGGACCCCTTTGGACGTTCCCTTTTGCTACTATACTTTTCAGTCACAAACTAGGCAAAAATTGAGCTGTTAGTCTGCTTGTAACCCCAATTCTATTGTCAGTTTCAAGTCAGGTATACACTTAGGTGCGTCATGCTATATAAACGATAGACTTGTTCGTCCTATTTGAAAACACGGGTCGTCTCCTGTTTACGCGTGGTAGATGCAGTTTGTCTCGTACTTATCAGTATACAACTGAGATAAGTGAAAGGTAATTGCGTGATTTTAGTAGTCATTATACACCTGCTCAAAACTAGTTTGCAGGCGTGCCACTCGAATAGGGAAAACAGATAGATGAGAAGAGTAATATGGCTTTTTAGTCCGGTTGACGTTGTACAATTGCGTTCAAATTTTTCATCCGAATACTAAAGTAGACGTATTTTAACAGTAGTCGATGTTTTAGAAATGCACACTTATCTCTTTTTGTTCTTTTGTTAGTTCTATAATCGATTTATCGCATTTTTATTTCGTGGGGGGATATATAGATCAGTTTTGTTGAATAGAAGCTAGTATGTTTGATTATTGTCAGACTACTTTTAAACCAGTTTCACATGTAGTCTGCAGAACAAAGCAAATGTTTGACAACACAAATCAGAGACTGCTTTTCATAGAGATTCTTATATTATTAGACTGTGTTCATGAAGTTCATGATTAAGGAACAAAAACCTCCGTTCCTGTGATATACAAATGTGTCAGAATAAAGTGACGTGAGACAGGATTAAAGTGAGTCGTAGTTATGGTGGCTCAAAACAGTTTCCAGCAGTTAGATTTTAATGGGTCATTATATATCGTAAATAAATGATTTCACTAGCCAACTTTCAACCTTTGTCTATTGCTAAAATCAACATTTTTTCAGCAGCAACCGAGGTTTTACAGTCAGATATGCCTAGTGTCAAAGTCCACGTTAGTGAAGAGGTCTCGATTTGTTGATACGTTGCGTGACGCTGCCAGTTTCTGTAGTCTCTCAAGTTTCATAGAATATTTAAATTACGTACATTATTCTAAGCTAGCATTTGCAGTCGCGTACTCGTTTCGCGACTAATTCGAGTATTTCCCCTGATGAATTAAGTAGTCTTATGGATCTTGCCTTCAGAGTACTTTTCC